CTACACGTGGGAGACTTAGAATGAAGAAATATTTACACCAACTGAGTGCATTTACGAATCTCATACAGTGTTTCCATTGTCACCTTTAGATAATTTTTCTTCTTAAATCCAGCTTTCCATGATTGTCGGGATACAGTCCAAGGTATACAGGATTTACAAAAAAGAGAAAGGAGAGATTAGTAACAAAACCAACCTTTGTGTGCAGCTCCTCAGAAATACTTGGGCACCACACCTTGCCACTCATTCTACCTTTCAAAAACTGGGCCAGTGCTCTTTTTATAAAACTAGTTATTCTTCCCACAGGAGAATGCAGACTGACATCTGTCTCTCCTCTGTTAGAAACCTATATAATTTCTTGCCTGATGGCTGCAGGCCGTTTTCATAAAGCATCAGTGCTCTGAATAACTAACGTAGCGTGCAGCCATGCAACTGAACTCTTCTGCCCCGGCACAGACGATAAATGAAAGAACAGATGCCACGCAGATATGACGGGGAAATCAGAATGGAAAGGAGACCAAGCGGAGCCTTGCCTGTGAGGGCTCTCAGAGTTGAGCAGTAACCCTGATTCAGCTTGAACCACGGGATTTCAATGACAGAGATTTTATCAATGGCTTTATGAGGCGCAGACAGAGATAAGGGATGGGGGGTTGATTCTTCCATGAGTAAAAGGTGCTGAAAGGCAGAGCTGTCATAAAACATGTAGTGATATCACTGCAGCTAAAAAAATAAAGAATGGAGGAAGCAAGTAAATACCTTTTGATAGTTGCTTTCATTCCACGAGACCCTAAAAATAAAGCACACGAGCATGTGGATCACATAGCTAGTTTATAGTACCTAGTACCTAACATAGTAAACGTAATGGCTGAGAGGGATTAGGGTGAAGGAATTTGTAGGTGGAGTTTGTACTTGAGAACCAGGGAAGAAATCTTTCCGTTGCTTAAAGAAAATAAAAACTATTGATCTAGGATCTTTATTTCCTCCACCACAGATAGGAACTCATCATTTAATACTCCTAAACTAGATTTCATTCTTTGGAAGGGCAGAGTTCTGGGTCAGATGTGTCAAAAGGGAGAGCTGAGGTACAAAGAGGAAACTAAACCTGATGTTTGATCAAATAAACCAGGCTTTTCAGCTAATTACTAAGGAAAAAGAAGATGAAGGAGCTGAGCGCTTCTGTTTCTACTATAAAAGACTCTAATAGGCCATTGGGAAAAAGTGAAAGCAATTGTGATAGTGTCCCATTCTGCAGGGTTTTTTTGTCATGCTTAACACAGTTACACTTTATCAGCCCAAGTCCAGTTCTAAGAAATGGTGGTTTAAGTTTATTTCAAGCTCAGTGATACAACGGTCTGGGGATACAAGGGACAGAACTTTAGGGAATAGGTTGTCTTCTCTTTCTCTGAAATAAGCAGCTATTATTATATATATTTCTTATTTATTTACTATATCCTGTACTATGAACAAAATTACAAGCATTTTGACACACAGAAGCATTGGAGGCAAAAAGTAATAACGCAGGAACACAGTTTGCCTCAGACAGCATCTAATGACCAGGTATGTCGACAGTTTAAAACCCCTCTCCATCTTTCTGCCCCACATCAACCTTGCACTAGGCAACCTCGCGCCATCCTCATTACACGTAGGAGCGGTGGAACTTACAGCATGCGTCTGCACGCTGCAAGCAGTGCACTGTGCCCAAAACAGCCTGCTTGCAGCCCTTTTTCTGTCAGTATGGAGTGGGATCAAGCCTGGAGGCCCATCCTGCTCATAGCCACAGCTTGGGGGCACCCAGTCAATAATGTTTGCTACCCTTATTTTGGTTGCTGCCAAGGGAAGAAGCTCTTGGCAGGCTAGTGTGGACATGGGAGCTCCTTGACAAAGTTAGCATTGAGATTCTTTTGGCCAGATGGCTTGACAGTGGTTCCTGAGCAGTATTTTCTAACTATCCAAACTCCCTGGTTCGATTCCTTAAGTGTGATCCATAGTCATGAAAAGCCTGGTACGATCCAGACCAAACTGCATCTCTTCAAAGAGAAATCAATGGACCATGGGCCAAACCAGTGTGTGAGCCAGGGGCTGTGCCTAGCCACCTAGACGGGAAGCTTGTGGCGGTATCTCTGAAGGACGGAGCAGAAAAGCGGGATGATGCCTGCCTCTCCAGCTCTCCCTGCTCTGCACGCCTGTGCTGCTTTGAGGAGCACATCGAAATGCAAAAATAGGGGAAACTGAGTTTTCACAAAGCACCAGATCAGCATCTGGCCCTCTGAACCTTTCCATTTTTGATAGGAATAACATTGGCTGGGACAGAGGCAGACAAATTGTTAATGGACAACTGTCCAGAGCTCAGAACATTTCTGGGAGTTTGTCCATCTTCTTAAAATGTATTGTGCTTCTGAATACTAGAGCCAAGTCCACGTACACTTTTTGCTGCGTATCTGGAAAGGCTCTTACTCAGTTATTTCTATAAGACACAACTTCTCCAGCAGCTTGTGCGGCATTTGCACTACCAAACACGTAGAATGCCGCAGATGATTTGTACGTGACACACACGTCCCTCGGTGCTTGGTGCCTTTGCTGAATGCAGTTGTGAGCGATGCCGGGCGCGGGGATACTGACACCTAGAGGTGACAGCTAGAGGTGACATCTCTAGCCGGCGGGCGGCATGTCCTGCATCTTCTCCTCTTTGGCTGTAGCTCTTGGAGGAGGGAAGGTGGTCACGTCGTCAGGATGATAGCTGACCCGGCGGCCTCAGGAGGCGAGTTATTTCCCTGGATGCTGATCAGGGATGTGTGCCCGTGTGCAGCGTGCGGTTGGGGAAGGGACGGAGCGGTGGTGGCCAAGAGTGGAGGATGGACCGACAGGTGTGGAGGTGAGAGGGCTGTTAGAACAAAGAGGCACGGACCCATTTCTATGACAATTAACGACAGGGGCTGTGGCGGGCAAGTGAAAGGCTGTCTTCAGAGCCTCTTGGCATCCTCCAGATCATTTAGTACAGAATGCTTCGAAGTTGCTTTCTTCTGATGTTTTCACAACTGCTGCTCCTTTGCAGCAAAGACCTTCTCCATCGCAACCCACACAGTGCTGCTACTGACTGAAGGAGCAGGAGAGCTGATGTTGTTCTCCTGTGGGTGTCTTCGGTGATGAACTGTCACAATATGATAGTGCTGGCACCTGAATTTAGGATGTAAATGATCCTTTTCTCTTCCCTAAGCATATCCATGAATATTGCATCAGCGTTTATTTTCCTAGTTAGGCTTTTGTAGGTTTATATGAATAATATATATACTTTTTCCTCTAGCAGAGTAAGACTTCATTTTATTCTGCTGGTTGGCCCAAAATTCATCTTGATATGAACAGTCTTAGCCAAAATCAGAATCTGGTGAAGTGGGATGTGATATTTTAAATTTCATTCTGACATGTCAAGCATTGAAAATTCTCAGAATAAGCAGTGAGTTGTTAAAACACAAGCATGGTGGGGATATAAGTATAAATACGTAACCACACCAGCACAGTATTCACTTGTTTTACAACTAGATTTACTTTTTTCCCAGCCACTGCTGCTGTGAGTCTTAGTTTTGGTATTATTTGCAACTAGGGCAACTGAATTTCAAGTAACTAGTGCACAATATACTGTTTTGTTCAAATGAGTTACTATCTAGCATGCAAAAGTACATGGAAGAAAATAAAATGTGGAAAATAGCTCTCCTACTCTGTGTTAAAAACCACACAGTGCTTTGGAAAGTCTTCTCAAGCATTTGTATTCCATCCCAGCCACAAAGACCTAAAACTGTGGCTATTACATCTAAATAATCAGTGGGAAAAATCATCATGCTATATTTTCTCAGTCTGTTACATATTCATTGGAAAATTATTCTGCCTAAAAGAGAGATGCTAGGGGCATGCAGGACCAAGAGCAAGTACCATTTTACATGTGCTTCATGCTGTTTTTTTTCCTCTGCAAATAAAAACAAGAGAGTGGAGGATATAATAGGAAAAAAATTTTGCAAATAGAGCACAAAAAGTGGCAGATAAGTGAAATAATAAAATATTTTTTAAATGTGAAATAAAAGAATTCTTCAATGGTATGGACACACTGCTGGGACACGGGAAAACCAAAGATACCCTATGAAAGGGAAAGCAAGCAATGCCAGGGTGAGCAAAACTGGAAGGGAGAGAGCTGTTCACAGGCATCATTCAGCCATACACTGTGCAGATTACTCTGGTAAGTGTGCAACCAAGTCCGCAACCTCTAGGGAAAATCAGTAGGCATCAGAACAGAGAATAGTAGGGGGGAAATCCCCTAAATCAATGTCAAGTGTAACTCCCTACAAACAACAGATAGCACTGAATCTTGGCTTGAACTCTGAGAGCAGTGTGTGATGTTACTTTTTCCCACAAAGCAGAACAGTACAGTGAAAACCCTATGCCACAGGTAATAGACTGTAACCAGTGAGATTTCTCCTACCATCCTGTAGTGTCCTGTAAATTGGCAGCAGAATTCTTTTGTCCAGTTCTAATAAGTATTCAGTGGACATAGAGTAAGTATAGCTCACTGTAAGT